GATTTTTATTATTATATTTGTGTAGACTAATATTAATTTTCATCAAATATTTTACTTATTTAATATTTAATCCTGTAAGGCCCAGTATACAGAATTAAGTACATTCACTTTGAACTTTTATATTGACACTTTTATATGTTTATATTGACATAGTAGTGACTTTGTATAATACTGTATAATGTTCCTAATACTTACTAATTGCAATTAGAATTGTTATTCCAACATAAAAAATAAAAGTATTTTCACTAAATAAACCTATAGTGATTATTTGCAGAGCAAATTCACTGACTTGATTTTGATGTGTAACATGTTATTCATTTTGTATACATATTATTGAAAATATCTATTAAAACAATTAGAATAGCTAAATAAGGGAGGTTCTAACTCATGGGACTAGAGGGGAGCGCGGGGGATACTCGATGGCACGAGGGGAAGGCGTGGGGGGTATTCGCGCGGGGAAGGGGAAGGCGCGGGAAGGCCCTGGCGCTATCGTTGTCGTCGCCGCCGCCGTCACCGTCGCTGTAGTCGCCGTCGCGATCGCCACTGCCGCTGCCGCCGCCACCACCGCCCGCCACCTATCGTCATACTACCATCCTTTCCAAAAAAATGCGTAAATAACAAGAGTTCACGTTTTTTTATTAGTGCGTTGAGATAAAGGATAAGGAATAGAAGAAAATACATATGTAGTAAATGCAAACAAATATCTTTTTATTCACATTACAATTATTACACTGATTTTTTTCTCATTTTTATTATATTTTTTTCGATCGACACAGCGTTCGAATGCAATTGGTGGCTCGAACATCGCTAGCAACGCTTTCTGGAAAAAGAGAACGAAAAATTTTTACTACTATTCGCTTTTTCAGCTGAGAATAAAAATGCATTAGCACTAGTCTAAATGCTATACTTATGGCTTATATTTTGATGAAGTTGATAATGATGATGATGAGGAGCACGTCGGCGATTTTGATGCTTTTTCACCAGGACATTCTCAATATCTCGCTTTCTCCCTCAATGCTGAACTTGGTGGATCTGGTGACAAGGATTCTTTGCGTTCGATCGATTTTCGACATATATATTCTTTTACTCGATCCATGTTTTATCGCTTGTAATCGAAGTTTACAATTGAATGAAAAAAAGCTATATATATTGTTTATATAATACTGTCAGATCAACGACACTGTCATGTCGCTACGCATTAAGAGAAGCGTTGGTATTGTTTATATACTAATGAGATGAAAAATATAAATCAGAACCGCTCGCGATGCTGCCTTATCTACTTTTAAAGAAAGTGTAGTCCAATAGGCAAAGGAACAAAGAAGTGTTACAAATGAAATATATGATGTGTTATAAGCGTTTAGTTCCACAGATATCCTGGAAGACGAACGAAATCGATCGCTTCGGTTATTGACAATAAGAATAATGGAAAAAGTATGGCAACCATCATACGAACGTTGAGAACATAGCTAACGTAGCCGAGTATATTAAAAACATGGATCCGGAACAGTTCACGAATATCAGAGACAAAGTGTTCGAAGTATTCGAAGAAATGGAAGTATTTTGAAGAAATAAAGATTCCGACGAAGAAATGTTATCCGACGATACTAGTTCTGTGATATGAGCGAGTATGAAATCGATCGTGTAGAAAAATTCGTGCTCCAGAATCCGTATGCTGAATGTTCGTACTAAGCACTGTATGATCCACAATTATTATACAACGGGTGATGCTTTAACTGTATGCACAGCATACATGATTCATAGAGCCGATATTAACGATGTAGGAATGTATCATGTCAGGGAGCATGAGACCGGTTCTTTCGATAGGCTAGACGACAGGTCGTGCACGAATTGCAGAAAACTTTTGTACAGATTTGCAGAAAACTTTGTACTTTTATTCTCGTGCGCACTCTGCACACATTGAAAAAAAACTATTGTGAACAGTATTGGAAAATATGTGGGAAGACTGTAATGTAGATGATGTGCTGTATGTTCTCGGTAATCCAAAAAAGAGACACAGGTGTGCGAATATCGCCGGTGCAATTCCTACGCGATCGAGAATTAGGTATACGTGATGAGAAACATGGAATAGTTATTAAAGAGTCCATTTCTGACTGGTCTTTACTCGCGCAACAGAAAGTGTACTTATGGTTACGAGACACATATTACACGCACGATGAGTATGAAAAGAGACATTGGTGGAATTATATGTCAATGTAATAAAGGACGATTATTATTGGGCAAAGAAAATCGCAGATAAGAGCCAAGGTTGGTGCATTAAGATTCCCGCGGGTAATGAAAAGTGTGTCGAATTGTTGATTATTGATATATGGATGGAGTTTCGTGATCGCGATCTTGCACTAAAACTGTATTTCAATAAATGCTTTGAGTGTGAACAGTGCACTTTCGCAAACAAACATAATGAAAAGGTGTTAAAACATTATGACATTCTAGATATGTCACGGTGTTGCAACGTGTATGAACGAGCAAATGCTCCGTGGAAGAGTGCGACGTGATCTAAAGACTATGAAAAAAACATGAAAAATCATGAGCGAGCGGAACGTGAATTGCTGGAGCAGTGCGGCCAGGTCGTTACTCTGGTGGAATGTTTCGCGTGACTGCAACGATGTGACGAGTGCATTGAGCGGCTAGAAGAACTTTGTTGTGCCAAGCGTTCGCGCCTCGCCGTTGGACACAGACAATCCGCGGTGGCGAGGATCGCGCGATGCAAAGGACTCGCGGATGCAAAGTCGCAATTGGAGCGATGTTTCGTGCACATTGGTGGCGAGTGGTGAGTATGCGAGTGGCAACAAAAGATCTCTTGTCTGGCGAGAGATCGACTCCGCGAGAATCGTATATTGACAGATGCGGTGATAAACTCTAATCACATCGAACTGGCGATTTTTAGAAGACTAGCAATGTAATTCTAGAACGAGTGCGCTGTAGAAAGACACGGTAATAAACACCGTGTTCAATGGTGAATTCGCGACGAAAAATAAAACGTGCTAATAAGAGCATAATTACAAAGAACAGCGAGATATACCGATATACCGATTAGCGCGTGGTACGAGCAGCATGTCATCGAGTCTATCCTAGCATCGCTCGAAGAATTCCAGGAACGCGACAGCGGGTCAGCATTGTCACGTGTATTGAATTTGACTATCAATATGAACAAACTAAACTCAAACAAACAACTCCTTTGCGCGCGGGATGTCACATCGAAGTGCCACGAGAAATAGCGGCGAAACGAGCGATGAGTTCGTACGATGGACAATGCATGCTTCGCGTGGTTGGTAGTCATCGCTCTGTACCCAGCTGAAAAGTATACAGAGCGGGAATCGTCGTATCCGCATTATATGACAGTATTGAATCTCACAAACATTGAGTTTCCAATGATTTTAAAAGACATTTTTAAATTCGAACAGTTGAATGCGGTGTCAACATGTACGGCATTGAAAATGGACAGGTCCTTCTTCTGCGGCTCATTGATGACAAGAAGGAGAAGCACATCAATCTCCTGTATCTATAAGATTCACGCAACGTCAGCCTTGTCCACTTTGAATGGATCAAGAACCTGTCGCGTCTCGTGAGATCGCAAATTACTTGGAACAAGAACAAGAAGTTTTCTGCGACCGGTAAGTATAATAAGAAAAGTTGTTAAAAAAAAAACAATATTTAAAAAAAAACAGTAAAAAGAAATAGTGAAAAATGATTTCTCTATTATTTACAGATGCCTTCATTATTTTAATACGAAATGAAAAATTGCAGTCGCACGCAATCGATTGCTAAAAGATCAACGACTGCGCGATCAGACTGCCGAGCGTGGATGACAAGTGGCTCGAATTGGGAACCACTGCAGTAAGGAGCGCGTTCCATCGTCTACGTTGACTTAGAATGCATTCTACGGAAAATAAAACCTGACAAGGAAGATGCGTCATTGTATACGTATCAACAGCACGAGATATTTAGTATAGGATACTACGTGCGATACACATACGACGACGCGTTATCGTCGTATCACTTCCTTCGCCATGAAGACTGTATAGCGTGGTTCGCGCGACAACTCAACGATTTGACGCATGGAGTGAAAAATATCGTATCCGCTAATATGCCCATGAGAACGTTGTCGAAAAAACAATGGGAATGTATCGTAACGCGATGCCATATTTATGAGAAACCGTTCGCGTCGAACGACACGCGAATTCATGATCATTATCTCACCGATAGACATCGCAGTCCAGCGCATTCAAATTGTAAATTATAAAAATTCATTCTATATTCCAGTCGTATTTCACAATTTATCGAGTTATGACGCTTATTTTATAATTAAGGAAATTGCTATCGCATACGATGGACAGATGTATTACCGATAACGAAAGAAAAATATATTTCACTCACTAAACATGTCGATGAGCACCAAAGACAAAAATGAAAAGAATTTTCAGAAAAATGGTGTAAAATTAAGATTCTTTCAAATTTCTAAATGCAAGCCTCGATAAATGGCGTCTCGACAAAGATAAATTAAAAATTCTATGTTCCGAATTTTGCAAGCTCAACTTTTCTCAGGAAAAGATGTCTTTCCGTGAGAGTACATTGACTGCGTCGAAAAATTGCAGGACGTGTGCTTACTACCGCGTGAATTATTTTTCAGTTCGTTGACAGGCGATACCGAGAGCGATATTCGAGAGCGATTATGCTCACGCCATGAACGTATGGCAGCGATTCTCCATCCGAACGCTCGGCGAGTACAGTGATTTGTACTTGAAAACTGATGTCTTGTTATTAGTCGATATTTTCGAAAATTTTCGTAATAGTTGCATCGAGAGTTATTGTCTCGATCCCGCGCATTATTATACATTGCCAGGTTTTACGTGGGACGCCATGCTGAAACATGCGTGTAAGATTCGACATTGATATGGTCATGTTCATCGAGAGGAGTATACACAGCAGTCTCAATCAATGTTCTAGCAGATACGTGCACGCTAATAACAAGTACATGCGTTCATTCGATCCATCAAAACCGTCGTCGTACTTGATGTACTACGATGTGAATAATCTGTATGGATGAGCGATGTGTCAACCTTTACTATACGCCGAACTTCGATGAGTTGAAGACTGCGAACTTTGATGTGAGCGCGATCGCTCCAGATTCATCCGGTTATACTCTCGAAGTCGATCTCGAGTATCCTCACCACGATCTGCACGATCGATACACCTACCTTTCTGTCCAACGCGCGATAAACCGCCAGGCAAGCGCGAAGATAAACTTCTAGCGACATTGTATGATAAATAGCGTTACATCATCCACTGTCGCAACCTTCAGCAATGTACTCGTCACGGTCTTCGCGTAACAAAGATCCACCTGGTGCTACAATTCGCTCAATATCCATGGCTCCGCGATTACATACATTGAACTTAATACATAATTTAGAACGCGTGCAAAAAAAATGATTTTGAAAAAAATTTGTATAAACTAATGAACAACGCGGTATTCGGTAAGACCATGGAAAATATGCGCAATCATGTTAATGTAAAATTAATAACAAAATGGGATGAACGGTACGGCGCGGAGGCAATGATCGCGAAACCGAATTTTCACAGCCGCAGTGTCTTTGCAGAAAATTTGATCGCCGTCGAAATGTGCAAACTCGAGATAAAGTTCGACAAGCCGATTTACGTGGGTATGTGCATACTCGATATATCGAAAGTCTGCTTGTATGAATTTCACTACGAGTATATGTTACCATTGTTTCGCAACAAATGCAAGATCATGTACACCGACATGGACAGTCTCATTTACTATATAGAATGCGAGGACGTTTACGAGACTATGAAACGCGATATCGCTAGATTCGACACAAGTGATTATCCGGCAGACAACGTATACAATATGCCTCTCGCGAACAAAAAAATATCCGGCTTGATGAAGGACAAAAATAATGGTGCGATAATGATCGAATTGGACTGAGAGCGAAGATGTACGAGAGAATAGACGGCAAGAAGGACACTAAAAAGGTGAAAGATGTAAAGAATCACGTCATAGCGTGATAACGTTCGATGATTATATGCGATGTTTGAACGAAGAGATCAAAATGACTCGCCGTCAATCATGTATACGATCTAAATTACACGAGATGTACACGATATTCGAATCGAAAATCGCTCTGAGTTCATACGACGACAAACGATACATCATACCGAACTCGACGGAGACATTAGCATGGGGGCATTGGCGGATACCTTTGTAATGTATGTTACTATTGTCTTACTTATTATAATTTACACTTTTTTTCACATTTATACAAGTATTATTAGCATGTTTTTATGTAATAGCATTTATTATTATTAGTATTATGATTATTGTACTTTCACATAATACATATCGTATGTTTTTAACATTTATTAGGTTCGTGGCGTTTTTCCCGTTAGATGGCATTAAAAAAATGGCACGAACTTTTTCCCATACCTAATATATACTATTAGTATTTCAATTTACATTTTGTATCCCATATTTTTTATCATTTATGCGTATCACTATTATGTATTATTATCGTTATAATTTACACGTAATGCATGTTTTTTAAATTTATATAAGTATTACTATGTTTTATATACCATTTATTATATATTACTATTATTTTTCATTTCACGTATCGTACATTTATATCTGTATACTCCAAAACGAAGATGGAAAGGATAATAAAAAAAAATTTTATATATTTATATTGATATATATTTTTTATATGTAGAAATAAAATATATGAATCAAAATTTTATCAAATAACATTGTTTTTGTGTACCCATGAATTGTGCGATCCATCGAATCCCAGCCACTTGACGTACACCTTGTCTACTTTCTCCACGAGATACACATTCGGATGAGTAGCGCAACGCAATTCGTGCTCGTAAAACGCTCCAACGACGGATTTTTCGTGATGATCCTCGAGTAAATAGGTTACGGGATTGTTACGCTGCACCTTAATGATTGTAAACACCTCGGTGGTCCAATTTGGCGTGTAACCCTTCTCAAAAATCGTCTTGTACTTGCTCACGCGTACCAAATCGCCTACTTTGAATTTTACAGAACCCGCAATCTTTATCGCACTGTACACTATGTCCAAGAGTTTTCGACAATCGCGGGAGTTACATCGGCGGGTCGCATGCCGATGCTTGCGCGCTTTGTAATCTGACACGAGACGCTGCAGCTCGTCGTACCTACTTGTAATTATCATTGAGCGTAAACATCTTCCACATGTCATTCTTGAGTGTGCGATTTAATTGTTCGACCACTGACGCTTTCAACGTCGAATATATGGAATAATGATTAACATCATGTTTTTTAAAGATTTTCTGCACATTGGTGTTGTAAAACTCTTTCCCCATTCGTTTGTAAATTTTTCGGATATGTTCCACTCTCTCGAACGATCTTAGCGATTGCCGTCTCGCTTCCACCTTTGCTCTTGAGTGGTACGGCCCACGCGTACTTGCTCAATACATCGATGACAGTGAGTATGTAGTGGTGACCTCTGTTGAAGTCTGAATGCACTTCAATCACATCAGCCTGCCACAAATCGTTGTATCCTCGAACTATGACGCGCCTTCGCGGAAAATTTTTTCTCGCCGGAGTGTGCAATTCCTCGACGAGTCGACTTTTCTCGGAGCTACTTTTTTCTCTCTTTTTCATGATTCAACGCGTAATACAGAGTACAAGAAAATAATGTATTTTTTTTCGATGGTGTCACTCGACTGATTCGTTTCATGGTGATTTAATTTATATATAATAAGACCGGCTTCGCGAAGTTCCTCGATGATCGACAGCATCTCGTTATCGTGAGCGTTGTTGCCGCTCGGTGCGAAGCATCGAGCAATCGTAGACGATCCACCAGTTCGTTGGGATCATCGCAATGCACGTAATCAATCGCGTTGTCATTCAATATCATTGCATGAGGTAATTTCTTTCCAGATTTCTTCTTCTGTTTCTTGGGTGTGATCGACATCAACGGCGCTATTACGTATTTATACTTGTATCCCTTGTTGCTCAATAATCGGCCCTGCTTGTGTACATCTTCGTCGCCAGTAGCATGCTCTTGTACTTGTTCATACTTATTCGTCTTCCGTGTAGAGGAGATCATCGGGAATTCTCTTGAAAATCAACTCGTAAAGACCGGATGTATCGGCGTATCGTACCGTCGATAATTGTATTGTTTGCGTCATCCACATCGAAACGTTTATATTTAATCAGCCCATCCTTGTAAACGCTGTGATCTATATCGCTCTCTTTATCTTGCGTTCTCCTCAGGACAGCCTCGACGTACTTTTGACCCAGCGGGCTCAAGCCGACTCGTAATGCCTCTCGAAACGTCTCCGACATTTGCAGCTGATTTTGAACCTTCGTCGCTAGCGAGTCTTCTGTCGTTCCGAAAACATTGTCCAACGACTCTATCGTCGGTATGATTTTGGTACGCGGTGTGGAGGTACACGATCATGCAATCGATCATCAGATTTATTTGGAGTCGCGGAACGCTCGAACATCTCGCTCATTTTTTTTTCCTCTTCTTGTTCCTCCTTCTTCTCACGTTTAGAGAAAGACGCTGCATCTTCGTCGAGCGACTCTCTCTTTGTCGCGCGCACACCGGGGCTGTCGACGAAAAGTCGCAATGGTTCGATAAGAGGTTTAAAATGTCTATCCAATGCGATGCCCTCCTCGATTCTACCAGTCTTCAGAACGCGATGTTTCTTGCGGATCGACTTGCTCGTCTTCTCGATCTCCCTCGCGATTTTTTCATACACACGCACATCTTTCATATTTGTGCTAAGTATCGGCAATGATTGGTCACGTGACGGTATCGGTCACGTAACAAATTCGTTAAATCCTATTCTGTATTGTCCATTTGTAAGTTGACTGTCTTTGTCTATCACTAGAAATCCATATTTTTGATGCCAACAGTCGCGGCACAACGCGCAAAATCATACGACATGTCGATATTCACATGATCATTGTAAACGTATTTCAAGTTGATATCGTCCTGTTTGAACAGGATCAGATGGTTCGCGTTGTCGCGTATCAGATATTTAGGTATTCTCACATACGTCTGACAGAGATAGAAACAGTCGACGTTCGCGTGGCGACCCATCGAAAAGTTCTCTCACCGTATCTTGCTTGCTATCGCATGCCACATCATCAAAGATAAAAATAGAATTTGAACGCGCCTCGCTCGGTGGAACGACATCTCTGTTATTGGAGAACGTAAAATAGTCGATTTCATCTATAGATGTAAATAAATTTTCAAGATATCGATATTTTGGCTGTTGCAGCGAATAGACGTACACATTCTCGAAACGTACGCCATTCGGGCCTCCCGAGTAAGCTTATGAGAATGTTGATTTTACCGCAATTCGACAGGCCGCAAATGATCGCGCGTATAGTACTCGGCAACATTTCGCCATGCTTGCACTTTTCCGCGTTACCTTCCATCATTCGTGATTTCGCGTCACAGTTTGTGACGCATATCGTCAGCGGTTGCAGCACAAATTTCATATTCACACTGAAGATTACGCGCTCTCGAACGACTATTTAAAGGCGCGCAAATCTACGAATCGCGCAGTAACAAAAATCTCACGCTATGTCATCCTTTTGATATTCGAAACTTGAGCATCGAACAGTTACAATATACACCGAAGATCACTCTTATGGGTGTACGGCGATTACATCACGTCTGGAACAAGCTTCCGGAACACGTGAAGGCAGATTCGGAGACTCGAACCCATCATCGCTGCAACGAGCAGCTACCAATCAGCTGTGGCAGCGGACGCATATCGATGGTCCCGTACCGAAGATAAAGGACTGTAGCAAATGTCGGCGTCGGGTGGCGGTCTACTGAATCGAGCGATAAACGCGCTTCCTTTCGAGTTACATATTCCGGGCTATCAGCTTTTGCGGTCCGACACTTACGAAGCGATTAGCCAGAGATGACGCGGGCATAAATCCGCTGGACGCGGCGTGCCTAGAACACGATATTCGCACAGCAATAATCTCACCGATAGATACGCGGCGGACAAGGTACTCGCCGATATATTAGGTGTACAACTTTGCTTCCGCCGTTTTTTTTTCCGAAATTCGAGGCTTTATTGTAAAAAACTGGTTATACATTTATGATTCAAAGTATGATTCAATTGTCCATCGCTGGCCACTACTTTCTCTCATCTTTCAGGTAGCGTACGAATCCCGCGTCGAAAAAACTGGTCATCTTTGAGGCTATCCACGAATCAATCCAATTTTTTACTTCTTCATAAGACCGGAAATGCTAGTCAGCCAGGCCGTGTGCCATTGATCGAAACAAGTGATAGTCAGAGGGAGCAACGTCTGGAGAATACGGCGGGTAGGGTAGGACTTCCCATTTCAATTTTCCCGTTTCCAAGTATGTCTTGACCACTTTCGCAACATAGAGTCGAGCATTGTCATGCTGCAAAATCACTTTATCGTGTCTCTCGTTGTATTGCGGCCGTTTGTCTTTCAATGCTCGGCTTAAACGCATCAATTGCGTTCGATACCGATCGCCTGTGATTGTTTCAGTCGGTTTTAACAGTTCATAATACACTACGCCGAGCTGGTCCCACCAAATACAGAACATGACCTTGGATGTCAAAATCATCGTTCTTGAAGCGTTGAAACCACTCACGATACGTTCTTTCATTAGCGGCCTCACCATAAGTATTTGAGAGCATTCGATGAGCCTCAGCCGCAGATTTCTTCATATTGAAGCAAAAAATAAAAACTCCTGCAAATGATGAGAATTTGGCTCGTAAACTGACATTTTCAATCGAGAGTAACTTTATGATGCAGACACAAATCGACTAATGTTTCTATAGGGTTATGTTGACAGATGCCCAAGTTTATTGTATGACGTCTATGATCTATTTATTTCGACCATCACTTACCGCTAAAGCCATCTATAGGAAAACGGCGGAAGCAAAGTTGTACACGTAGGATGCATTACCGCAAGAGATTCGATTCTGAGCGAGAGAGCAGCCGCTACTGCCATTTGGGCAGCGATGAAAGCAAGATCAAGATCATGGCATGAAACTAAAGAAGATGACAACGAGAAAAAAGACAATGAAAAAACGGACCGACGGTGTTACCTTTTCTGTCAATATTGGGCGCGCGATCGTTGATTGGCGGCGCAGCCAGCGATACTTGATTGGTGGCGAAAGCGATAGTAAA